GTGTAATATTCAATGTAGTTTCAGGTGTTTTGACACATGTAATAGCAAATCTGGAAAATGTAATAATTGTATCAACGGTTACTATGGTAAAAAATGTAACCGGGCATGTGGATCAAATTGCGAGAATGGAAGCCATCAGATCGATGGTAAATGTGATAACTGTATTATTGGTAACTACGACGATGACAGATGTAACATGCTCTGCAGAACAACGTGTGATGGTGAATGTAATAAAGTATCTGGTAAATGCACTAAATGTATCAGTGGTTTCTATGGTGACACATGTAATATGGAATGTATTTCAAATTGTTATTGCCACCAGAAGTGCGGGAAATATCTGTCATGTATCAAAGATTACTATGATGACCTTTGTAACACCCAATGTGCGTCCACGTGCGAAAACGGTTGCCATAAGACAATAGATCGATGTATAATGTTGTTAGTTAGTTGTATTTTACGTCCGCTTCCACCGATATATTATGTGTAATACGGGTTTTTATAGGGACATGTGTGGGGAAGTCTGTGGTTCTAACTGTGACAGTGGTTGTGACAGGAAGAGGGGTAACTGTAGAAGCTGTGTCAGTGGTTACTATGGTGACAGGTGTGATAAAGTCTGTAGTTCTACATGTAAACCTGTAACTGGAACAACAACACCTGTATGTTATCAGTTTAATAGAACATGTACTGAAGGATGTCAACATGGTAAAAAGGGAGATAACTGCATATACGTTAAGTTACATTATTACGTTTAAATATAGTTTGAAATATTCGATGTCAAGCCAAGCCTTATGATGAAGCATAGTCTCAAATGCCATTATTAGATGAAGTGGATTTATAATTTGGATTTGATGTGTAGAGTATATGAATATCCATAAAATGTGTTTCCTTGTCGGGCCAGACCCGTAGCCAGCTTGCCGGAATGGCAGTCAAGGTTTTAGGGGGAAGGGGGGGGGGGCACAGTCTACAGTAGGTTTTTTAGAGCTATGGTCGGCAAATTTATTTTGGGGGGGGGGGGGCAAAACATTTTTTCCGGGGGGCATTGCCCCACCTTGCCCTCGCCTGTTTAATGTACTTTCGGTGATAAATATCCAAATAATGTCTATGTTGTATTTTAGATTGCGAGGTTGGTTTTTATGGTAATGGTTGCCATAGGCATTGTGGTAAGTGTTCTAATAGTAATAAGCATGGAAGGTTTTAAACAATCAAAATATGATATGGGTGAGATTTTGTTTATTTTATTTAGTTGTTATTGTAATTTATTTTGTTTTAGTATTGGGCAAATACCTCACTGTGGACAAAAATGCCTAATGCTTTGTAAGAATATAATGAGAGAACGAGATAAATGGCGTTTAACGTCCATTCGACACAAGCTAGGTTATTTCGGGACTAATATATGGTTCAATTATATTTCAATTAATTTTCTGATGCGTAGGGATCTTTAGCAGTGAGTGGAAACTGGGGGACTCGGTGAAAACCCACGGGGTTGGAATCCTCTAAATATTATACCGAAATACAAATAACTTTTCGCGACCGGTGGAGACATCCACCCCGGACCACCCATGTGCACCATTGTTTCAGAGTCCTTAAAAATTACATTGGGCCAAATATGTTCATTACAGCATTACGATTGTCTTCAATAAAAGATACGTTTCTGCTTATAACTGTTTATCCCGGCCAACACCGGATCCGAGACATCCAGGTCAGTAAACCGGCATCTTACTCACTGAGCCACCGCGGCTCCCCAAAGTGATACATGACGCCCACTCGTACAACTAAGGTAGTATTTTTTATAAGCTTGGTAGTCTATGCCCTGTCGTAGTTATTGGTTGATAGATCCTATTTCCGAATATATAACTTGATCAGGAATTTTGTTACTGATAATCTCCCTTATATGTGGAAAATTCACCGCGCGAAATTGTCTGTTAGTGGAACACTAATTTTCTATTTATGTCTGAAATACAGAATTAATATTTGATGGTAAATATACATTTACTATATATCTACAGGATTACTTTCTTGTCAGTAATTTTTTTATTAAAAAATGGCCCAATTGTTCCTTTGCAAAATCTGGGTTTATCTTTTCAGTTTTAGGTTCCGACTGTATTCTCTTTCTATTCCTTCTGTAACCGAAGAGGATTCTGGGATTTTTTCGTGTCATACCGTAAATGCATTTGGTGAATTTTACCCTCACGGTCGACAGTAAGTAGCTAAGATGTCAAAATGGGTCCAACGTTGGGCCGTCCGGTACGCAACGGTTGACAAGTCTCATGATGGTAGTGTGATGGCATCTAACTTTTCGGGCGACGGCTGAATGTAGTTCTAACTGTGCATTTGGCTGTTACAGATGACGTGGCTGTAGAAGCGGTTACTATGGTGACAAGTGTGATAAAGTCTGTAGTTCTACATGTAAACCTGTAGTTGGAACTACAACACCTGTATGTTATCAGTTTAATGGAACATATACTGAAGGATGTCACGCGTGTAGAAAGGGAGATAACTGTACCGATGGTAGGTCGTGATATATTAGTTGTGAAAATAACGGCTTTTAAAGCTATATTTAAACGTTGCTTGTCACTTAGACTAGGTTTACTTTTTACTTTGAAAGAGATCTGGGCGGAAGGGCTAACGTTTGCGTTACTGGACCGCCGTATTAATCCGTTTAGCTTATATCTATTTGATAAATCAAATTCAGTTAATAAATCATACGGTCTGTCGGTTTATATTGATTTATATTTTCGATTATTTAGACACATAAGTTTATCGTTTAAAACCAATTAATGTATAGGGATGAACTAATATCCCATATAATACTACACGTTTTAATACAACCTAGGCCACTTTACGTTATTGTCTCGACCGCCAAATGAATACACGGGTGAACCTCGGTTTTTCGTCCAATCTGAACGCATCGGCTCGCTTTCCCCTTGTCAGACCCGCGTCCTGCATCTCTGATAGGAAAGTTTTAGGCCAGCATCGGGATGGAACGCTGTTAGTAAGCCAGTGCCCTACACAATAAGCCATGGTGGCTTCCGTATTTTTCTTAATTTAAAACCTTTGATTTATTTCAGAAAGAAAGCCTGATGAGATGTGTTAAATACTCTGAAATATAACTCTAGAGGATCTAACCCAACAACAAGAGTATATAAAATCTCTATTAGAGACAATTACAGATCTCAAAAAGAACTACAAGCGTTAAAGAAAGAAAATGTAAACCTGAAACTAACATTACAGAAATTGGGGAAAAATATAATACCAGACAATTTAAATGTCTGTATTCTGGGCCAACGATATGAGTCGTGAATTGTTTTCGACCCGTAAAAAGAAGTAAACATTATTACGATCAACATTGTTTAGCTCTTACATAATGCATCTTTGATAACCAATTAATGTCCATGTTTACAGAAATCAGCAGATAGTTGTTTGATTTAATAAACTATTAATATACATGTTTACTATCATTAAATTTAATATACTTATTTACAAAATTGTATCATAATCCCTTTATTATAATAAACAATTAAACATGTTAAGGAAATTCTCTGAAATTCTCTGATAATCTGTTTAATTTAATAAACATTTTAATAATTAATTAATATGTTGATGATCTGTATCTATACTAATAATTGATGAATATTCATGTTGATGATATGTATCTACTAGTAATTGATGAATATTCATGTTTACATGTCTCTGTTTATGATCTGTATCTATACTAATTTGCGACTGTCGTTTGTGACTGTGTTTGTCTGCCTGTCTGTCTGTTCAGAGTTGACGGCTACACTAGCTGGTAGCTCGGCCCCGCGAGTAACATAGGCCTGGCTGCGATGGACTACCATTTCCGGTTTCAGAGTTATGCTACTTCCAGTTCATGTGATACACGTGCTTCGCCGGGTCAACTGCGAGCAATTATTAAAATAAACAATACCAACTCCCAACGATTTTACATTTTGTGATTGATATATAGAGAATCTCCCACTCGTGTTTTTTGATATCAAAAAATATCAACACAAGTTGATAAAGTAACAAAAAACGAGGCTCTGCCGATTTTTTTTTTACTTTATCAACGAGTGTTGATATTTTTTTATATCAAAAAAGACTCGTAGCAGATTTTATTTATCACCCAATCCTTTCTTACGTGCACAAATAAATAAATATAATTTTTTGCTATAGACTTCACTTTTACTGAACCTGATTACATTACGGCGTAGTGATACATCATTTTTTGACAGCAATTCAACCATTGCAAAGTCCCAGTATTTCCATCAAAGTCAATTAAATAAAAATAATTCCTTTTTAATAAAAAAAGAAGTTACTTTTAATAAAAAAAATGAACTGTTCTTTGAAAATACAAAAAAGTACTTCCTTTTTAACCGATATAAGGATATATCGCAGTAGATTATGAAATTTATCACACAAGCGATATCTACTGTAGAATGTATTATTGTGTGATAAATATACGTTATCGACTTTGTTTATTTTATTTGGTCATAACATTTTATTTCCTGTTGGGCTTCCGTTTACGAACGTAATCGATATTTAAAGGTGCTAATCCTCTAACTCAATTATAAAATCGAATTAGAATTCAATATTGCTTGTCCGTTTCAATCAATATTGATTTTGTTATCTTGTGGTGAAAATATAGGATCCTAATATATATCAATACCCGAAGTAATTAATAATGGCTCATTAAAAACGAAAAAATAATAATAATAAAATGTGTCGAACTTTTGACTGTCTGCGTATTTCATCGATCATAGCAGATTATAGATTATGAATATGTTTTATAAATTAAATATAAATCACATTGACACAATCATGTTACATTAATATGTTGTTTTAGATCCCATTTTCGTCTATTTGAAGGATCCAAAGAATAGAGCTATGCGCCCTTTAAACAACACGGAAATGCAAAAGTTTGATAAAAAAAAAAGTTAAAAAATATTAACATTATCGATATTGTATCAAGCAAATAAAATTTATTTTATCCTTTTCGAGTAAAGAATCCACATCTGTCCATGTCAGAAAACATATTCGTTGTGCACAAGACTTTATATTCGCAAAGAGAAACTAAACTGTAAGAATTATGAAAATTCGTGCCCTGCTGGTCGTAATACTGTTGGCTAATATGGCGGTTCCTGCGAGGTTTGGACACAGGCCATTAAACATAGCTAGAGCAAACCATCTACGTCAACTAATTTGGAATAGATTTAAACAATCACGGACATGTAGCAGATGCTGTGCAGGTTGGTTTTTATGTTTAATATTAGGGCACAGTCACACCCTGATTGGAAATACATCACAATATAAATTACCTAAGTTTACAGGGATGGTCGTACTGTTGCTCTTTCTGTCTTGTTGAATTATGCGGTGTTTAAACTTGTAACATAGATGATAAATCTTCTTTTGTTCTTTTCGTTGAAGAAGCGGATTGTTTCCCTCTAGCAGACTGGGTGGAGCTTAACCGTGCAATAACTAGACATTTCCAATGTTATTGCGTACCTTTGCTGATTTACGCTAATTTAGTAGAAATCATATAAAGAAGTGGGATGTGTTTTCTGTGCAATAACAACAAACATGTTGAGCAGGTGTCAATGTTACAAGTCATTTATAGCACACTTCATTTGAACTTTAACCGATTATATGTCGCAGATTGTCTAATCCATTCAATATCTAAACCACCTGGTGGTCTTGGGAGTTGATCATGTGAATAAATGTCGGAATATTAATTTATATAACATTTGAAGCCCCCCCCCCCCAAAAAAAAAAAATGACCTGCAATATAATGCAGATTTGGCTCTTTAATTTCAATAATTCCTAATATTTGCCATTTTTATTTTTTTAAATCTTCTAAACTTGAAGTATATTTAGGGGCCAGTAGGTATTTTGTTTCCTCTTTTCAATATTCATTGCCTTTAGATATATTTGTGCTACTTCAAGATCATAATTTGTCATTCAGTGCCTTTAACGTCACCGCTGATACAAGAAGAAACAAGTTTACAACTACTGAAATCACCTGTATCTCCTAGAAATACAACAATATTCCAAAATACAACCAAGAATACAACAATAGACCGAAATACCGCGAAAAATACATCCATAAATGCAACAATAGACCGATATACATCAAGAAATGCAACAATAGACCTATATACATCAGGAAATACAACAAAAGACTTGTATACAAATACAACTCCGGTTATAAAGGAATTCACACCAGCGATTCCTTTTTATGGTAATTTTAATCTGATTAAAATACAGATCTGTATTTCGTTTCGTTTCTTTATATTTTATGGCCTCCACTACATGACGAGTAATCCTTGAAAGGCATTGAGCAATTGACTTCTAACATATCCATACCAAGTACTCATTTGAAATGAAATGAAATTAAATGAAATAGTGTTTAAATTCCTACTGTTCTAGTCCGGGAGCTAGGTGGGTTTTGTTCAACATGGAAGGTGCGGAAGGTTTGGCTTCCTAGTGGTGTATGGCTGGGTTGGGAGAAACCCACTTCTTAAGTTGCGCCAGTGGTGGGTGTGGTTGGATGGGATGGGTTTATTCAACATGGAAGGTGCAAGTTCCACTACAATGGCGTTTGATAGAGGAATGTGCCCTGAATTAGGAAATATAACTTAAGGAAGGGATTTTTGGTGGAAAGGCAACTTAAGAAAAGGTCAAAGGTCACTAATTAGCAATTTTTCGATTTTACTGAAAACGATTTCTCCATTATCTCGTGATCAATTCCAAGTATATTGCACAAAACTACATGGACATTTTTTATACTGCTAGGAGTAAAATATGAGACATAAAATTAGCTAAAAGTATGACATAATCTCAAAAATAACGAAAATATCACTCGACCCCCATCGGTAATTAAAATATTAATCAACATGAAAGGTGCGAGTGAGAAACCAAGCCCAAATTGTACGGAATAATATCAGAAATCATTATCATCTGTAATAATATTGTTAGAATTTTTGCTCTTGAAATAAGATGCCTTTATATTTCATTAATTAATATCTTTGGCAAGTTAGTAATTTCAAACATATTCACATATATAGTGTGCACTAAATCAACTTAGTCTGTAATTGACAGTTGACATATAAAAAAGAGCTCTTTATCGAAAACATATGTCAATTATTTACCACCAGAATTACACGTGAGTGGAATTATTCTAATTGCAGCATTTGATTTAAAGTAACCAATCATTTTGTTAATTACACAAGTTCAGGGCCATGATCACGCGTTATTGTGCATGATATTCATTTACCTTTAAAAGAAACCGGGGGACCCTGTAAGTCAGACTTGCATTAGATTCCAGAGATCGAGGGTACATCTGAGTTCCTAGACAGCCGAGAGGCTGGATAGGGTGGAGAAGTGGTTTTAGCTATATAGTATTGTAATTTGTGCTATGCTTGTATACCTGTATTCAGTTATATGCTATATAAAATGTAGAAGCGAACTATGCATTATTATTCCTGGTAAGACAAACGTCTTAAGAAACTGGAAGAAGTAAATACACAACTAGAAGCAGAAGTAAAGACAGCTAGAGACAAATTCTAGACGATCACAAGGCTACAGAAATATGTAGTAAGAAAAGATGCATGGGTCGTACGTAGGATGTGGCGACCGGTTTCCGACATATTCCCGCTCTCCACGTCAGAAGACCCATGGTACTACATATTCCATTTGGTGCCGTAACGGAGTTTCAACCTTTGGGGTAAGAAGTCACTTTAGAAGAAGAATACATATTTGAAGACGTTAAGAAGAAAACCTGTACAATCCAGCAACAGAAAAAGTCTGGTGGAAAAAAAAATCTGTTGGAGATATTCGAAAAATAGGGTAAATACATTTTGTTTGGAAAATTAAATGTGTTCAATTTGTTTACAGACCAAATAATATTAATTTAAAGTTAAAATCTGATTAGAAACTAAGTATTTAAAATTTAACTGTTAGAGACTAAAATATAATCATTCATAAGTTGAGATTGATAGGTTTATTAAACAATATAATATATGAGTTAGGTATGTATATTGCCAGGTTAACATGACCTGTAGTAAATTTGAGTAATAAAATTTAAGTTAAAGTGAGGGTCTCTAGGACGTAGGTTTTAAAAGAAAATTTGTTTTGATATAACTAAGGAATAATAATGATAAGAAAACAGAATAGGGAATAAGGTAAGGAACTAATGTTGTCTCCGGATCGCAGTGGAAAGACGGCAGAGCTAAGGATGAAATTTGTAAGTGATTAACTCGAATTTCCTAGTTGGCCGTGGTTTCTACTGTGATTCGTTAATTTGTGTTTTTGTGTCGTTCGTATGTGTGGTTATTTAGCTATATAATGCTAATATAATTTTGGGGCTCTAGTCCAAAGTCTCAAGATTTTAGTTTTAGTCGAAGTTTAACTTTTGACTAAAAGGTTGAATTGCTATTATTCGTGTTTTTGTGTCGTCCACGTGGTTAAATAAGTAGAGTAGTGTAATTTTGAAGCTCTAGTTCAAGGTTTCAAAATTAAGTAATTTAACTTTTGAATAAAAGGTTAGGTTATGTTAAAAATCCCATATGGTTAATCTAGGGATGTTGGTTATAGTTTTCCTGAAAAAAAACCTAAAATTATTGGCTCGTTAAATTGTGAGATTATCGCAAAGTCTTTAATACGAGTTTTATAGGAGGTTAAAGTTAAGAATGCGACACTTTTTTAGCAAAGTGTAGGTATACGGTAGATTTTGTCCGTATATAATTTTATGTAATTAAATTTTTGCTTTAGAAACGTAATATTAACGTTTAATATATACTGCTAATTGCTTTAAGCTGTCGACATGTACGCAATGATTATTAATGTGTAATTTGACATTAGGTTAGATTATTATAAACAATAGGTTCTGACACTGTTAAATTTGACGTGTTTAAAAGTCACGTTATGCATATATAGGATATAGTAAACTGTATGTGTATAGACTAATGTTCCTGTGGATGAAAGTGCACTCATTCACTTGGGACATGGTTATAAATTAAATGAAATGGGTTTTTGCATCAACTGTAGGATGGAATGGAGTGTCATTTATATACTGATCATATTTGATTGACAGTTCTATTCTAAATAACGTGTTAGGTAATACTAATGTGGAATAAGTAACCATGGGCTTGTTTCATGTATTGGTTTTTGACTAACATACAAAATGGTGGATTATAATGATTAGGTCAAAAAGGTCACATTACTGACGGTGAAATATAAAATAACAATGTAGGAATTCTAAAACAGAAACGGAAATTATAAAACATAAACGTAATTCTAAAATTGTCCATTACTGATCGAGTAAGGTCAAGAGGTCAAAATTAGTTTGAAAATTTCTAATTAAAGGGACACATCAAAGTTTATTAATACTTAAATAAAGTTTAATTTTCATTACAGTAAGATTTGCTAATACGTTTTCGAAATAATATATTAATAATAATGTTAGACTAATAGCAACATAAAGTTTTAAAAAAAAATAGTAATAGATAGTTCTTGGCCTGATGGCAATGACATGTTTGATTGACGGATAAAATTGTACAACCCAATCATACTTAGAAGAAAAAAAAAGGTTTCAACTTGATACTATGGTAGCTGAAACAGACCAATACACATCCAAGAAGAAGAAATAGTTTACCAATTTACCAAATTGACATTTCCTGAGACAGAATTTAAAGTGAAACCTGAACTTTATAAATATTACGTGATGTGTTATAGTGTTTTGAAATTAGGACACTTGAAGATTTAAAAAAGACAATTTGTGTTTTCTATGTTTAGGTTAGTGGATTTTCATAGGATTGTACAGTGATGAACTTTTTGGAGAACTTTTGCATGCAACTTTTAACTTTTGAGTTTTGATTTTTGATTATGTGTGTTTGTCTTTTCACATTTTTGTTATATAGTATAGTAATCATTTATATTTGCCTGATGCATGAATAATTATAGGGTTTAGTACATGGCAGTTTTTAAGAGTCTCCTACCTGTTCATTTAGCATAAATCTTGCAAGTGGGGGAGGTGATATATGTTGATTTTCTCGATTTCTGCTACATTTATAAATAGTTATATAATTCTACAGATGTTGGTATGGTTATTGTAAAGGATTCAATGGATATTTTACCCAATACCGAGCAAAAAGTCTTAAAGGAAGGGACGAATGTAATAATATTGCTAGATTTTTTGCTCTTGAATAAGATGCCTTTATATTTCATTAATTAATATCTTTGGCAAGTTAGTAATTTCAAACATATTCACATATATAGTGTGCACTAAATCAACTTAGTCTGTAATTGACAGTTGACATATAAAAAAGAGCTCTTTATCGAAAACATATGTCAATTATTTACCACCAGAATTACACGTGAGTGGAATTATTCTAATTGCAGCATTTGATTTAAAGTAACCAATCATTTTGTTAATTACACAAGTTCAGGGCCATGATCACGCGTTATTGTGCATGATATTCATTTACCTTTAAAAGAAACCGGGGAACCCTGTAAGTCAGACTTGCATTAGATTCCAGAGATCGAGGGTACATCTGAGTTCCTGGACAGCCGAGAGGCTGGATAGGGTGGAGAAGTGGTTTTAGCTATATAGTATTGTAATTTGTGCTATGCTTGTATACCTGTATTCAGTTATATGCTATATAAAATGTAGAAGCGAACTATGCATTATTATTCCTGGTAAGACAAACGTCTTAAGAAACTGGAAGAAGTAAATACACAACGTGAAGCAGAAGTAAAGACAGCTAGAGACAAATTCTAGACGATCACAAGGTTACAGAAATATGTAGTAAGAAAAGATGCATGGGTCGTACGTAGGATGTGGCGACCGGTTTCCCATAGACGCTCTCCACGTCAGACAGGAGACTTATGGTGCTACACATCAACTTATGAATGAAATTTCTGGTTGTCAGTGTACTTAAGAAGAGAATAAAGCTGGTTTGCACCGAATGACCCCTAATTAGAAATTTAATTTACCTGAAATGTGCGACATTGGAACAAGGTGTAAAATCTAGGGAATGATCATAGGATTCACAACCACTAACTTAAGAATGAATATTTAGGTGGTAAATGCACTTAAGAACAGCAGATGTGACCAATAACCTTAAACAATCAGTGTCAAGCAGTACAATATGCCCACAATGCTAAGTTTCCTCTTGATCTCCGATAGTAACACTGATACTATCCTACTAAGAGTCATTTAAAACATAGATCTATGTCATGTTTTTGCAGATATCAACCAAGACCCAATCAACCAGAACCTAACTTAGGAGAGGCAACCATCTCCATCAAAGTAAGCATCATCAGATTCCTCATTCCTCATGTCTTCCTCAACCAATGACTCCCATAGTTCAGGACCATTACACCATAAGATTTCTTACTGTCTTTCCTTAAACTCCTAACCATCTTCTGGCGATGAGTGCTGGTTAATTCCTGATTTATCAGCGTTTCCCTATATCTTTGAGTCCAAAAATTCCCTTGTCATCTGTAGTGACACTTTTGATTCGCAGGGGGGAATCATAGTTCAGAACCATTACACCATAAGATTTCATACTGTCTTTCCTTAAACTCCTAACCATCTTCTGGCGATGAGTGCTGGTTAATTCCTGATTTATCAGCATTTCCCTCTATCTTTGACACCAAAAATGCCTTTGTCATCTGTGGTGACACTTTTGATTCGCAGGGGGGAATCATACTACCATTGATGCCCTTTTCAGTTTCTCCGGAAGATTTTCACATCTTGCCTTAGACCCATTACGTCTTCTCAAACACGGTGTAGCGATGCCTGTTGAGTGAGGAGATTGCTTGTCGCTTATCCCCATACATCTGCACGGTGAATGATATCGTTACATCGTGTTTGAGAAGAGCAATGGGCCAAAGGCAAGATGTAAAAATCTTCTGGAGAAACTAAAGGGCATCGATAATAGCAGGAGTCTTCCTTGCGAATCAGAAGTGTCACTACAAATCAAAAGGGGCATCTTTAGTCGCAATTAAATGTCGGGAAGCGCTGTTAAAACAGGAATTACCCAGCACCCATCGCCAGAAGATAGTTGAGAGAAGGACATAATGAAATCATGCGTTTTAATGGTCCTGAACTCCGGGAGTCATTGGTTGAAGAGAACATTGAGCAATCTGATCAGGATACCTCTGATGATGACTTTGACATTGCTTCCTCTGATGAAGAGTTGCCTTTCCTAAGTTAGGTTCTGGTTGATTAAGTCTTGATTGATATCCGCAATAACATGACATAGATCTATGTTTTAAATGACTCTTAGTATGAAGGAAGTGGGCGGTAATTAATGTATCAGTGTTACTATCTGAGATCAAGAGGAAACATAGCATAGTGTTCATATTGAACTGCTTGTCACTGATTTTTTAAGGTTATTGTTCACATCTGCTGTTCTTAAGTTCATTTACCACCTAAATATTCATTCTTAAGTTAGTGCTTGTGAATCCTATGATCAGTCCCTACATTTTACACCTTGTTCCAATGTCGCACCTTTCATGTTAATTAAATTTCTAAATAGGGGTCATTCGGTGCAAACCAACATTATTCTCTTCTTAAGTACACTGACCACCAGGAATTTCATTCTTAAGTTGATGATATGATTTCTGATATTATTCCATACAATTTAGGCTTGGTTTCTCACTCGCACCTTTCATGTTGATTAACATGTCAATTACCGATGGGGATTTTTTCGTTATCTTTGAGATTATGTCATACTTTTAGCTAAAACTTCATTTATTTTATGTCTCATATTTATGCTCCTAGCAGGATAAAAAAAATGTCAATGTAGTTTTGTGCAATATACTTGGAAGAGATCACGAGATAATGGAAAAATCGTTTTCAGTAAAATCGAAAAATTGCTAATTAGTGACCTTTGGCCTCTTCTTAAGTGGACTTTCCACAAAAAATCCCATTCTTAAGTTATATTTCCTAATTCAGGGCACATTCCTCTATCAAATGCCATAGAAGTGGAACTTGCACCTTCCATGTTGAATAAACCCATTTTGGGGGGTACTATGAGTGGCTCCTCCTACCACACCCACCACTGGTGCAACTTAAGAATTGGGTTTCTGGGGTCTCCTAACCCAGCCATACACCACTAGCATGTCAAACCTTCCGCACCTTCCATGTTGAACAAAACCCACCTAGCTCCTGGACTATTCGTACTCATTTGATCTATAAAAAAAGTGAAACGAAAAAGGGTTCATGTTTTAATCAGACTATGGTAATTTGTTACAGTCATTTGTTAAAAATAAATTTACTGTCTGTTCCAGTTGACACTACGACTCGAAAATCTATTGCTATTTCTTCAATTTTTAATTAAAATGTTTAAAACGTAACGACCTACCTGGAATTGCCATCCCTTTACCTTCTACGCGTGGGAACTAATTTCACATCAATTAGTGAGGGGGGGGGGGCTTTCCGAGATACGGGGACAGGGTACGTTCAATGTCTTAAATTGGTTGGATATCTGATTTGTTGATTAGCATTTTTAGCCTTTTACATCTCTTTTACAACTAAATATATATGACCCTATTTGATAACTGTTTTGTTTTGGGAGGGCGAGAGCTGTAAGCAGGTATTCTAATGCATAAAAATGGCAGGAAATATGATTATTGGGCTCACTCTACCTCTAGGGTGGCATCTTGAGCCACCGGACCATATGCATTAAAGATAAGGCGATTTTTAGACAAAATTTATACTTTATCCGAAAGGTTACCATGCCACCTAATGCTGAAAATAAGAGTACTGTTGGGATACATTTGGGGATACATGCAATACTATGAGTACTGATCAGGAATATTAAAATACCCCGTCAGAAACGGTTGTTCCGATCACAAACTAACTGTAAACATACAGCCAGAATAGACGAGAACGCGTGTACCATCTAGATTCGGTTTGGTGCCAAAACAACGTGATAGAAAAGATTGACGATCAAAACTGCTCAGCAATACTATATACCGGAAAACCCCGGAAAACAACCGGAAAACTACTGGAAAACACCGGAAAACTACAGGAAAACACCATGTTATACTGAATACCGGAAATCACCGGAAAAATACTAAATACCGGAAAACACCCTAAATAGATAACCCAAAGCCTGGTCCTCTGTTTGCGGGGAGTTAGGGTTAGGTTTTCCCGGTGTTTTCCAGGGGACCAGGCTCCGAGTTACCTATTTAGGGTGTTTTTCAGTATTTAGTGTTTTTTCGGTGTTTTCCGGTAGTTTTCCGGTTGTTTTCCGGTATCTAATATAGCCAAAACTGCTGATGTAGAGGTTTTGCAATAATGGAAACATCTTTGATTTCAGTTATTGCTGGTGAAGTTTTGGCTGCGATCTTTGTCATCTCTATTATAATAATGCTGTTCATCTATTTTAAGTAAAGGTATATTTTTAGCGTCCCATATAAACTTTTTGCATAATTAAAATATGCTACTTAACTCTAAATCACCTTTTATAGATGTATTCCTGTGAGAGTTGGTGAGTTACCTTTACTGTCTATACGGTGGGTAAGAAGCTAGCTCGCTAGCCTGGAGGTCAGGTGTTCAATCCCTGCATTGACCGAATATGTTCATCCAGATTCCCCGGCGTGCTTCCCCCTTGTCAGTGATGCAGGACAGAGGACCTGACAAGGACAGCTGTCTAGTCGTTCGGATGTAACGAAAAACCGAGGTCCCGTGTACACATTGGCGTGCACGTAAAAGATCCTCTGACAGTTGAAATTCGATATAAGAGTAGGCCGTAGTGCAGCTGTCCGGGGAAAAGTTCCCTCATAGTACATTTACACTGTATGGCGTATGCCCGTCTTCATTAACCCAGTTCGGAGCAGAACAGTAGGACGTTAAACCCCATTTCATTTCAATATTTGTTATAATAAATTGTCTTACAGCTTCATTTTACATTTCAGGTAACTATTACAAGATGTTCTTATTATCTGCTACAAGCTACAGAGTGAAAGTAAAATTAACAGTGATCTTTACGTATTGTTAAACAGCTTATTAGCAATTATACTCCACTGTCTATACAAAATATGGATTTTGTTTTCATTTCTCCTAAGAAAGTATTTTGCAAATTTGTAATATAAATTTATAGACTTCAAAAGAACTTAACAATTTGGGAAGAATTATGTCATTACTTTTCCAGAGCATTAGACAAATCTTTCACTTCAAGCCATTCATAACGTGGAGTCCATGAAATTAATCTTTCACCAGTAAATGAACAGTGTCAATCACAACTTATAGTTTGATATTGTAAGATTTTTAAAGAGATAGACGGAGAATTGTAAAAATCGATAAGGCTCACCCTTCCATGGTAACATGGCTACTCATCGAATTTTTTAAACAAATGAAATGGGGTTTAACGTCGTCTTGTTCTGCACCAACTGGGCTAATGAAAACGGACATTCACCATACGGTGTATTATCAGGTAAATTGTGCACGGACAGCGTCGCTACGGTCTACTCTTACATCGAGTTTTAACTGCAAAAGAATCTTTTACGCGCATACCAATATGTACACGAGACCTCGGCTTGTCGTTTCATCCAAACGATTAAACTTTGTCCCTTGCCAGTTGTTCTATACGGCACCAATGATGAGGGAAATCCACGTCGGAAAATCCGGATGAATTTTCATTTTAAAACAGATCTGTTAAAAGTTGTAGCATATATTGAGTTCGGAAGGTTTTCCGCAAAGGTCGTCGTGGGGTGGGGGGGGGGGCTGCAACTCCACGACGCCGAATATCAACAGTCTTTGTCTCCCTACGAACCCAATGAACCAGCTAATTTTTTTTTCTTTTAGTTATGATGAATTTCTTTTTTTTTAAAAATATCATTTTTTGTACAGCTAAATTATTTTAAGAGTATTTTTCTATTTTTCTATCTAATACAGAGTATTTTAGAATGAATCCCAGTATAAACTAAATTTGTTAGTATTTTATTTTGGAAATACATAACAAAATAAGAGTAAAGAGTATTTAATACGAATCTGTCTGTTCATTTACATACATTCAGATTTATTTGCATTAGGAAGAACTATGAATCCAAGATTATATCCTCCAAGTACTATTGATCCTGAATGTGGAACCGCGGAAAGGGGAGGCAACTCATAATCACTCATTAATTGGATCAGGTTTCCATTTAGTTTAGCATATCTGAAAAAGAGAATAAGAAATATGTTTAATAAGAATACTTACAAAATTAAAAACAGATCAGAGTATAACTCGAGAAACTTCTCTGACAAGAAAATGAAATTAATTTCCGGTGAACAAAATTGCTTGCTTTGATATCACTAAATAGATTTTTGTTTTTAATTAAAAAAAAAAAAGAACAAAAAAAACCAACCATAATATGTACATATCCGATATTTGGTTCAAACTTTTAATCAGGTTGAATTTGCGGTTCCAGTTTTGTGGTAATCATTCGCCATTTGCAAAACCTTGACCGGAATAAAAGCATTAAAACGGAAATTACGTACATGCGTGAGTAGATTTAACCACTCGCCATACTCGCGCAAGATTAATTTTGTGTGAGTGCTTAATTGCTCGCCACATTTTCTTCGTGGCAAGCACTGAAGAATATTGTCTTCATAGTTCACTCAACACGGCTATTGAATTGCCAATTGTACAAGCGGTTGCCCACACTGATCCGCAGTGAATATTCGCTTGGCCGCTACAATCACTGATAAGGTTGACATCGATGCGACTTAATGACTACAAAATATTAACTTTTTTCTTTCGACAAATTAAATTTTGAAACATTTTTTTTAGTATTAGAAAATTAAATGAAGGTGTTTGACGTATATCTTGATAAAAAATATTCCATATTTAGCGTAAATAGGTACAGAAAATAGTACGCGGAGGCGTAAAATGGGTAAAACGATATAATTCTGCCCGTACCAGTTCATATTACTACGTTCGATGTAAACAACGCACGTGTGACCATCAATTTGATGTTTTTTTCTGTTTGTTTACTCTGAAGTCTTTCAGAAGTACATTTTTTACCGTCTAATCTGATTGACCTGCTCGTGTTTGTTTTAAAACAACAAAAACATGCCACAGAAGTAATCTTTTTTGGCGTTATCGACACCATCTTGCTTTGTTGGTAAACATTGTGATGTGACGTCACCCTTAGAACTATAGCGGTCTGAACTTTTAAAGGTCAGTCATCTTGGACAGAGATAAAAGACGGATATCGCATTAGGTCTGTAAAACAGATTGGCGGTTGCCATGCATGATACCCGCACATTTTGCAATAGATGGACGGAGAACAGTGGACGCTAGCCCTCACAAGGTTTTCGTACATGTCCAATCTTTGAACCATTACGATTTACTTACTTTTTGGGATAACTAATTCAAATAAAGCTTACATAAAAAACAAATATATTGCAACCTGCAATGACGTCAACGTAATTTTCAAAATGGAGCTCAAAAGAAATGTACTAAAACAGACTGTACTAAAAGAAGACTGCTCAACAAAGATATTACAAAATAAAATAAGTAGGTCAATAATGCAACTGTGATTTGATTTGGACTTCGTATCTTTTAAAATTTGGGTAATGCAGCATCTTAAGAAACTGACATACATGCAGGACTGCCTTTGTCAGATAGATGATTGCCAATGCCAACTTGTGTGAAATTATCTAATTTCTGGATAAAGCACACTTTACCATAAATGCTTTTCTTGGGATTTCCAAAACCATAGCTGCATGTAGAGAAATCACTTCACAGTGTAATCGTATGGGCAGCATTGGGTTCATTTTGCATTATTCGGCCGTTTTCTACGAGGAAAGTGTCACATGGACACCCGCACACACACACACACACACACACACACACACACACACACACACACACACACACACATATATATATATATATATATATATATATATATATATATATATATTGACATTTTAAGGCCGACATTTCTACCATTGCTGTCAAAGAGAAAGATATTGCCTTAACGGATATCTCGATTGTAACGGATCAATAAAGGGACAGCGCTTATGACCATCATTTGGAGTACGCAATCGCTCATTATTCACAGCAAATGATCAACATTTGGAGCATGCATCCATCAGTTATTGTTCATTTTATTATATATACATTGCAATTGTATAATTAAAACTTATTTTTTTCTTCTTTTATTGAATTGCTTTTGAATAAAATTACCAACTATGATGCATTTGTCGGCACTAACACCTTTCTTATCAATTGAATGCAATCGTCAGCATCAGCCGTATTGATAAACAATTACAAATTGTTAATGGCATTTGGTCCATAGTTTCGTTGTTTGCTAACTGTGTTGGTGCGTTTTCCAAATTGCAGTAACGCCAACGGGAAGCACGTCCAACTGCCTTACAACAGTATTACATTACAATGCATTATTACATAGTTAGGCTCATAGCAAGACAACTGCAGCTTCAGTGGGTATGGTGCTGGCTCTATGACCAAACTGTCCCGCGTTAGATCCGGTGATGGACAAGCGATTTCCTAGGGATTTTGCATCGTTTAGTCGTTCAAGTGGGAAAAATCCGAAGTATCACGTTTCATAGCAAATTCTTATTGTATCGCATTATGCCATGTCCCGTTGACACGGAAACAGTGCATCTGCCAATGTGAAATCTGTTAAAGGGTACATGTGCTGCTCGAGTTGTTGCATGCTACTCCCGTCTTTGTTTCAATTACTGAATGCTTACTGTGAGGTTAGACCTTGTTCATCACCAGGTGAAAAGAGATAAAGATCTTGAGTTGTGTCACTAACACCAGTAATATCAAGAGTTACTGCATCACTTCCTAGGTTCAATAAATATACCGTTACACTTCCTTTCTGGTACCCCATCATACTATAAATGTAATACAAACAATAATATTTAAACCTTATGATAAGCACTGCTCTATGATTGTCAAAACCAAGCATATAATACATTAATATAGTAATTAAACAAAGGCTTTTATAAGTTAAGTTGCCGAAAAGGAAAATATTTATTAGAACTGGTTACGTGTGATAGTTAGCTGTGTTTTGTTGCCTACTGTTCGTGCTATAGAATTCATCTATGATCAACTAAACAGTCCATGTAGGGGCTAATTTCGGAGTTTATCTAGACCCGGGGTGGCCAACCTTTTACAAACCATGCGTCATACAAGATAATAATAAGTAACTGGGATGTAAAAACAAGGCTAAATTTTCGAAAAATACTGAACCGGAACTGGAAATATTCATAAAGGACAAAAATAAAGCACAATGTCGTGCCGCACCGAATGCCAGTTGTAAACTGGCAAAAATTGGTGACGCATTGCTGAGGCAGACGCCCGACACCTCACGGTCTCACAATTATAGTTTTAAACGCGTATTGAACAGTTACGGGATATTACAGAACAAAGGTCCATGTCTCCTAGTTCGATTCATTAAGCATATTTTAAACTCACAACAGATTATTGTGAAAGAAGATAAAATTCGCTCAAAATAATGAGCAGTCCTATCATATAAATGAAATGCGTCACGTAGCGCATGCGCCCGTTCTTTACCGTAACATATCTAGATCATACTGTCGTAAAGACTAAAGAAAAGGTAATTTGATCTATCAAAAAAAAAACATCCCCCCCCCCCAAAAAAAAACACCCGAAAAGAACTAATAATATGATTTGTGATAAAATTAGGTTTGTAAAATTACCTTTGTTTGTTATAAGTAAATTGTAAAATTACCTTGGAATCGTTGTACAGTGAGCATACATTCTGATATTAATATCTGTACTCTGGGTAATATTAAATACGTAACTACCAACTAATCTTTTATATAATACAGATATCCAATAATCCTGAAAAATAAACAAATATTGATCACGTGATAATGATATCTGTCATTATAATTAAACGCTAACAAAAATAAAAATTGGTAGTGAGAATGTAAGAGACCTTTATTTAGAGGGTTGAATCACACCTTTAATGTTCATTATGCCCAAGTTCCAGACGAACAGACATGTGCGGCCACAAGAGTGTATCTCGTGAATGATCAAATATCCTCCTCCCAGGTTATAATTTTAAGTATAATTTATTATTATATACTTACATTACTTGGATCAAATGTATATGGACCAACCAAGCCACCATTACCACTA